TCCTACTCATATCCACCTTATCAGCAGTTCAGACAGAGAATACCAAATCAGTTGCTTTAGCCACTTCTCAACTATTCGGCCATTTTTAAGCATGAAAGCTGCTACATCTATCTCCTTTCCTTTCTCATCTGCCCCTCTGCCTGCTCTCACTGCCCTCTCCCGCCCCAAGCTAGGAGACACAGGAATACCTTTAACAATGGGAAGGGAAACAACCAAATTATTAACATCACCCAGTGAAGTTTATCCTACAGCCTTTTTCTGTCCCCCCCCCCCCGGTGCCTCTCTATTAAACGATGCCCTTCCTCTCATTGCAGCTGCATTGGACCTGTTCTCTCTGGTGGGAGGCTGCACAGGTAGATAACAATTCATGGGTAACCCCTGAAATTATAGATATGACCAGTTACCCTCTGTTACTCTGACAAAATTCAGTGAGCCCAGAATAGTGCTGACCAAAGATACTTCTTGGGCTATAACCCTCCATAGTCACCTCCTCCTACCTGCTAGAGCAAAGGACAGTTCCAGTACTTTAAAGTGATAACAGTCAAGAACATGCTTGAACTATATTTCTTTGCAGAAAGACCCAGTGAATCTTCAAACAGAGCTCTGGCTATGTACATAGTATCAGCTGAATACTGAACAATATCAAAATATATGGTATATGGGGGGAAAAACAACTGAAATGCTTAATGGCATATTTATACACATTTATCAACAGTCGACAAAAAGGTGGCAAGTTACACATCCATTCTGTATGCTAACAACCCTGATGTACACATATGTAAACACATGCTTGATTGATGCATAACAGTATACATCTAGCCACGTATCAAGGAGATAACCTGAAAAATCTACGCTGGGGTAGGGGAATGGGGGGACCTGGTGCACAACCTGCTTTTGTTTCCAAAGCATGCAAAATAGACATTCGGGGTAGTGTTGCTTTAAGGCTATTTCTAAGGCTCAATTACATCTTGTCCAATGCCCAATCAATCAAGGCTCTGAGACACCTTCTTCCTGGATTGTGAACTAGCACAATTTAATATATCAATATTTTGAAAGCCCCTACATGCTATGGAGGCAAGGGGCAAGAAGGGGGAGGGAGAAAGACGCTGGATTGATCAAGTTGCCTCATTGTAGGAGTCCTTCATTGTTTATACTAGTAGCACATTGGAAGGGTGTGTATTAGCCTGGGAAGAACACAGTTCTCTTCCCCCCAATTCGGATTTGCAAGTTTAAAACAAAGCACAATCCAGAGAACAGAAGGGTGCTCGAAGCATGCCTGTATGGAAAAAATCTCACATCATAATCAGGCTGGGGGGTGAGTAACTCTGCTTTCTGCTCAGTCAATAGCTGAAAGATACTAAAGTTTCCAGCTCAAGTGCCAAAAGGGGTAAGGGAAAAGCTTTACTTAAAAATATATATCTATATATCTATACATATAGAGCATCTTTTAGAGACACATACTAGCTTTATTACACAGAATTTGGGGCACCCTTTCCCCTCTATGTACATGGCAACAGCTCTCTTGTTAGCTAGATAGATTGGCATACAATAAAGGCCACACACATTTGGTTGGGAACATTTAGCTTGGGTTTCAACCAAAGCACAAGAGGGCACAACAGTATTTAAACCAATGCCTCCTTAAATCCTACACTTCTTGTCTTGAAGGAGTTGGTTTCCAATGCTTCATGTCGGTTTAAAAAAGAAGGATTTTTAAAATAGCCTTTATCTATTTATGTATTTCAACTATCAGGATGTGGCATTTTTCTGGGAGAATGACAGCATAGTTACAAGAGGACCTTGAGTAAGCAAAATGGTGCAAACAGAGCTATGATGAAAATATAAAAATTAGTTCTGAAATAAATGGAGAACCCCTCCAATTATCTTGCTGAAGCTTTGTGGAGGATTTTTATAGCCTAGACCCTATACCTTTATTTTTTTTTTATCCTTTTCAAAATATCATACGTACATAAGTGTTCATTTAAAGTATGAACACAGCACCTGAGTGGAAGTTACCCCCTCCTCCTGCCACTCCATGCAATCGGACTGCAAAGAAGCATTCAGTCACTTCTGGAATTTGAAGACTTTAGGCCTATGAACTCACTCCCAGGTTGTGACCCTGTGAGACACTTTCAGCCCCAAATGAATGAGTCAATTTGTTTATTTAAAAGAGTTGCAACCTCCTGGGGAGAACAAGAAAGGTTAATAGCTTAAAATTATAACTCTTTGCTTAACAAGTCACCTGTGTACCTAGCAAAACAAATGGGCCTGACAGAAGCAATCTATCTTCACCCTGTCCCTCTGTGATGCATCTCAGCTATCGGGCTATACCCTGGCCTCTCACATCTATCAGTTTGCAACAGCAAATCAAATTTGTCTGTAAGCAACTAAGAAATGCCAGGGGTTGGGCTGGTGGGAGGGGGAGTGGGAAATGAGAAGAGCAACAACCCTGCTTCAGTTTCCAATTATTATAAACATCAGCTTTTAAAGAAAAAAAAAAAAACAAGGCAAAGGTGTCCATCATCTTCACAACAAACTAGGAGCCTTCTGCTCTGTTCCTCTTCTATACCAGCACCATTGCCAAAATAATGTGAAGGGTAAAGGGCCAGACTTGCTGGTACAGTAATTTTTACTACCACACAAAACTGATGTGTAACTAACTCAGCCACAAGGATACGGGAAGGTTTTATTTATTTAAAAAAAAAAAAAAAGTAAAAATGATAAGTACTGTACGGTAATATTGGAAGTAGTTATATACATGGTTTTGTCGTTTGTTGAAATGTCTCCTGGTCATGTGGTGGCACTTGGGGTTCCTTTAGCGCCATCATCCCCACCCCTCCCCCTGCAGCTCTCCACTTCTCAGTACACAGAGCTGTTCCTTATGCCACAGCACAATACCATGCTCAGGATCATTTCGAAGATCTGTGTGGGGAGACAAGATCACTGGTAAGGCTCTGATTTATAAACGTCTTGATGACCTCATGTTCTTCCCACCTGCTGTCTTCTCTTTCCAGCCACAATGCTCCACTATGCTTTTCCTGGGTCTCCCCTCCCTCCATCTCTGAGTTTCTGGCCTTTTCACTGCTATTCACTCAGGCTGAGGACACATCTACCCTTCTTCTACACATCACCTACCTTTCTTCTGCCCATCTATGCCTGCCCCCACTTGTTTGTTTTTAAATGGAGCCATACTTCTGGTGTCTTTATTGCATCAGACAGCTGAGCGCTCATGAAAACAGGAACTGGAATGGATGAGGAAAGGCAAGCTATATTATTGCCTTGGAGGGGTGTGTGAAGCTTCGCTGGCTGTTTCGTTTTGACGCTGTTTTGACTCATTTCCAGCTCGAAACAGCGCAATTGAAACGAAGGGCTTTGAAACAGCCTCGAAACGAAACAAGGCCAGTCGGAATGCTTTGAAAGTTTTGAAACGTTTTGAATTTCAAAGCAGCCACCAAGGTGGTGGGAGGCAGGCAGAGCCAGTGCTGCGCTCCGAGCAGCTCCGCAGTCCAATGTGGCTCCATGTCTCCCCACCTCCCACCGCCGGACTGCGCTCTGTGGGGCTGGCAGAGCCTATTGGGAGCACAGTGCCATCTCTACCCACCTCCCACTGCCGGGCTGTGCTCCAATCACGTCCGCCAGCCCCATGGGTCTCAGCCTGGCGGTGGAAGGCAGGCAGAACCAGTGCTGCGCTCCACCTCCTGCTACCGGGCTGAGTTTCACAGGGCTGCAAGCCACTGGGAGCTGAATCCGGTGGTGGGAGGCACTTCCCTCTGTTGGGCTCCGTGCCCAGTGCTGGGAAAAAGCCTGGCTGGGGGAGGAGTCTCAGGTAGCAGGAGCAGCATCCTGTCATCCAACAGGCAGATCAGGGGCATTGCCAGGAGGGCTGCAGGGGCTCTACCAGACTCCTCCTGGGGATGCAGGCCCGCAATCTGCTTGCCAGATCACAGGATGCTGCTCCTGCTCCCCAGCTCCTGCTAGTCAGCAGCTTGAGGTGCAGTTTCCTAGAAACCCCTACACCTATCTCCTTGAAATGTGGCAGGCTTTATGCCCTCAGACGGGGCTACCATCCCTGCAAGTTTCATTGGAATCAGGCAAGAAATGACAACGCCATAGGCTGTTTCGTGCTTCCCCATTATAGGTTATGGGTGAAACTTTGAAACAGCGTTGAAACAGCGAAACTGTTTCGATGAAACTGAACAGAACAGTGATTTCGAAACTAAATGGAACCTGAAACGAAAACTGTTCCATTGAAACGGAAGTCTAAGCGGAACGCTGCTGTTTCGCATGGCCCTACTGCCTGGCCCAGTCCAAGCACAACAGGCACAGAGATGTGGAAAGATGCAGTATGTTACTGGTTAGCTCACCAGAAAGTTCACTATGGGAAAGAAAGCTAACTCCTTCCAGCTGGAAGCCTTATGAGTCAGTATTCTCCAATCCAAGAACTACAACAGTTTTGATCTGGTCAAGGTGGCTCAGAAGATTATGGTACATTTCCTTGCAAGTAGAAGCTTGAGTTTAAAAGTAGTTTTGTTTACAACAAAGCTAATCTTGTATACCTCTTGCCTTAGTCTCAGGATTGCTGAAGACTATCACAGAGCCACCATTCAGCTTGGCACAGATGCATGTCTCAGAAGGCATAGGGCTGAGGTGCACTAGCACAGATGTGGGAAAGAGACGGTTTGCTCTCTCCCAACCTGGACTAAACAGTAACCTGGCTAAGGAGAAGGGGAATAGAAGCTGTAGGTCAGTACTGGGAAACTCCTCTGCATTTCTGTGGGATCCGCTGTTTAACCCCCTGCCTGCACCATGCCTGAATTAACCCAATGCTTGCTTTACTGGCACAAAAAGGTTATCTGGTATTTTTAAAACCAAATCCCCTGCCCCTGAACTCTAGTATGTCACATCACATTTCTCACTTACCATGATTACAGCTACCACAATGGCAGCAATACCAATCAGGTACAACTTCCCAGAGAAGAGCTCATCAATTTTCTGGTGACAGTTGCTGTATACCTGTTGTACAAAGAGTGGGAGAATGCATGTCAGCCAGCCTCATCTCTACCTATGCACTGCAAAACATTATACATAAAGCAGCAGAATGTGGGGTTTCTGGCTACTCCCTGCATATGCCTAGACCATGAAACATGGCCCTGGATGAAGTTAGTGACCGAACTCCAATTGATTTCATCCCATGCTATGTTACAGCACTTCAGACTGGACAGGAAGTGGCAGGGATGGGCATATTCAGTACAGCCACAGTGAAATCTTAAGGAACATCCAGCTAAAGTCTTCCTGACCCTGGAGCGCAAGAGCATTTCAGCAAGTAGGGACCCAGGCTCTGCCTTTCTGTGGCAGTTGCTTGCATTGCTAAATAGCCCCTCTACCTCCAGCAGGATTCCCAGTGCTGAGGAATTCCTGAGCCCCACTCCTTCCTACTTACTTGCCCTCTCCTGGCTAGCAGAGAGGTCTGATTCCCAGAGGCCAAGGGAGGGGTAGTTGCCTGATGCCCTGCTACTGTCTGCCCCTTTGTTGTGAATGGGTTGACTTCTCCACCAAGGAGATAGAGTAATCCCTTCAGCCTAATGGGGCGAGTTTCTGGGTGTGTCACAAAAGTATAGAGGGACTCTGTGGAACTGCACTCACCCAACACCATACCAAGGAGAGAAGCAGGCCTTACCAGGTTCTCCTTCTTTGGGCATATGTCGTCCCTGACAAACTGGGTGAACGTGCTTTCCACAAGGTTTGTACCACAGCAATCCAGCTGCACATAGTAAAAACACAGTGTTAGCAAGATGCAGATATTTGTCTAAGGAGGTTCGGAGACAATGGACTCATTGGGCCCAGCCTGTTCTTGCTGGATATTTTCTAACATCACAGGAATCAGTTTGGCTTGCATAGAGAGAATCCAGCCTCCAAATTAAACTTCTGATTTACAAGCAGGATAGTAACTGAATATAATAATCCCAGATGTTCATTCCCAACCTGGAAGAGTCACAGCCAGAGCCTGTTTCCTACTCGGCAGAGGACATGTTGAGAAGAATTCATCTGAGCTGAACTTCCATTCAATTGCACTTACCTGAATCCTGGGATGCAGAAAAATAACAAAAATGACTTCATCTTGGTGTGGGCCAGATTTTATAGGGCTCCTTCTAAATGATCTAGTCCAATGGTACTCAGTCTTTTTGCTCAGTAGTGCCTGATCTGTCCATAAGCCAAATATGGTTAGTGGTCCAGATCTGGCCCCTGCAGCAGGCACAGATACAGCTGTGCAGAGAGGGGAAAGGGGCAGTCCAGTCCTAATCCAGCCACTTACAGCCTAGCCCCAAACTAGCCCTGCAAGTAAAGAGAGGGTGGAAGGAAAAGGTGGTATGACCTGGGCCTAATCCAGCCATGCGGGGGGACAGGGCCTGCTCCAGCCCCAAACCCACTGTGCAGAGGGAAGGGGGCGTGGCCCAGCTCTGATCTGCCATGTGGGGCTTGGAAATCTGGCAGCGGGGAAGGGTAGAGGTATTCTCCCTGGTGCCAGATTTCCTGACCCATGGGTACTGCATATGAAAACTGAAAGCTTGGACAGTGTCTCTTGCACAAAAATGCAAGACAATGGCTTGGAAAAGACTGGGTTGTGGTAACAAGACTACCACAAGAAAATCAAACTCCACTAATGGCTTGTAACCTATTAGGCATTGAGACAGATATTTGGCTGAGGCGATATGATCCTGGCACCTGTTTCTGCCCAGGGCAGGGGGTCGGACCTAATGATCTGTTTAGGTCCCTTCCGATATTAAGTACTATGATACATTAGAGCCTGAGGTACCCAATACCAGACCCATGACATAAAATAATAAAAGTGATGGTTAAAATTGTTGTTAGAGACTTGACACACTCATCACATGTGTATTTCCAAGCTAAGGAAGCCAAAGAGAAGGCTGAGCCAGTGAAGGCAAGGAAACTACATATGCATTTCAATTGAACTAGCAACTAAAGAAGATAAAAGACTACATATGCATCTCAAGAGAAACCTTTAAAAGGTACAGGAAAGACGTCCTGTATGGGACATGCTCACATTTTTCAAAACAGGCATCCAGTGTTTAAGGTATTACAAATGTCTCAATCATTCAATGTATGTCCGCAGTTTTGTAAAAAGACCATCACCAGTGCAAGCTACTGCAAATTTGCCCCACTGCTAAACAAATACCCAAAGACAGGTCTGGTAACCAATGCCTCTAAGCATCCTGTTTGACCGCTCAAGACCCATCACCTGTAACTGACATATAATTGCAGGGGCTGCAGAGAAACACAAGTCTTCACACCTAGACAAATCTAAAAAGAGGAGCCAGGCAATTTAACAAATGTAATATGAGGGCCACCCTTTTCCTCCCTGTTTTATTCAAACTTTAATTGGCCAACCATCAAGAAAAAAACAGGGGTGCACTTAGAGATTTTGGGGGCCGATACTGATAGCC